GCAGCGCGGAACGGGGCAGTCAGAGGCGCAAGGCGGGTGGATGAGTCGGCGGTAGGTGGGGTTCTCAAGGGCATGGCGGGAAGAGGGGAAAGCGTGGAGGAGAACAACAAAAACAAAAACAAAACCAAAACCAACGAAACAACGCGCCAAGTCAAAGAAAGCGCAAGTACGATAGAAGAAACCAACAATAGAAACGACAAAAACCATCAAGTAGAGAACGGATTAGACCAACAGGGCACGGGAGGGCGGCGAAGGAGCGTCCGGGGGAAATGGGGGCAGGAGGCGGAACGGAGTGGCGAGAGGGTGCGGAAGCTGATGGAGGGACTGGAGTTCGAGGAGAGGGAGACGGAGGAGGTGACGGAGGAGGAAGTCAGGAGGGCGGTATGGGCCGGCGACGACTGGAAAGCGCCCGACAGCCTGGGGCTGCAGATGGGGTTTGTGCGACGCGGGTGGCCGGTGTTAGCGCCCGCGGTCTGCGCGATCTTCAAGGCCTCAGTGCGGCTAGGTCTCTACCCCACCAGCCTCAAGGAGTCCAACGCCATCCCGACACACAAACCCGCAAAGAAGGACAAGTCTAGCCCGAAGGCGTGGCGACCCGTCGAGCAACACGCAGCGGTTCTCGCGAAGCCGCTCGAGCGCCTCGTTGCGGACAGGGTAATGTTCCGGGCTGAGGGCAGGAGCATCCTTGACCGGGACCAGTATGGGGGGCGCTCGAGCCACAGCACACTCCAAGCTGTGAGCGGCTTTATTCACCAAGCGCGCGCGCAAATGGACCAGGACAAGATTGTCTCGACATTATTCTTCGACCTTAGCGGTGCATACAACAACATAGACCATCGAGTGCTGGCGGAGATCATGGCGGAGGGTGGGTACGCGGAGGTGGAGGTATCGTGGGTCATGTCGTTCCTGGATGGGCATCGCACAACGATTGTCATTGACGGGAAGCGGACGGTGACGGTGAGGATCACGGGGAAGGGAGGGCCGCAGGGGTCGGCGCTCACGGTGGCAGTCTTCCAACTAAGCATCAACAGGCTACTCCAGAAGCTCGAGCGCCTCAGCCAAATCTCCGTGAACGCCACATGGAAAAACGGCTTTGTTGACGACGTGAACTTCACCACGGCGAGTCGGTCGATCCTGGAGAACGTCAGGAAGCTGGAAGAGGCGGGCAGGGTGGCGAAGGTGTGGGAGGTGGAGGACGGGGCGATGTTTGCGAAGGAGAAAACGGAGTTGCTGCACGCGGTGAAGGGGAGGCGCGACTTCTCGGGGTTTCCAGTCAAGTTTGGGGGAGAGGTGATCAAGCCGGCGGAGGAGGTGAAGTGGGTGGGCGTGTTGCTGGACCGGGGGCTGACGGGGAAGAGGCATGTGGAGATGAGAGCGGCGTCGGCGGTGAGGGCGATGAATGCGACCGTCGCGGTGATGCACGCGTCGTGGGGCCTGCGGCCGATTCTTATCCGTGACCTGATCCAGTCGACAATCTTCCCCCGCGCTGACTACGGCGTCGCAGCCTTCCTCCCGCTGGCTCCCGGCATCCTCAAGCCTCTGGATCGTGTCAACAGAACAGCGGCGCGCTGCATCACTGGTAGCTTCCGCACGGCGTCGCTTGCAGCCCTTGAAAAGGAGGCGGCAATTCTTCCGGCTCAACTCCGCATCGAGCGCGACGCCCTTCTCACTATCGCCCGGTACCTCACTCTCCCAACGTCCCACGGAGTCCATCGCCATCTGCAAAGCGCGCTCGTAACTGCCCCCAAAGACCCCCGAATGGCATCCATGTACCACCATATCGAGCTGATACCCGAGACGCGATGGCCGGAAGGAGTACCGGAAAGGGGGCAGAGGCTGAGGAAGCGGGGTGTGGTGAGGAGGGAGGTGGGGCTGGCGGGAGGAGGACGTTGACGTTGACGCCACACTGGGAATGGAGCCGATTAGGCCGGTGTATGCACCGCCCTGGTCGGAGCCACTACCAGTGTTCACCAACATCGTGGAGAAGGAGGAGGCGCTCAAGGAGCTGGAGCGCGCACTGAGCGACGGACGTGTAGCCAAGTCGACGTGGTACACGGACGGCTCTCTTCTGGACGGGCGGGCGGGGGGTGCGGCGGTGAGAGTGGAGAACGGGGTGGAGATGGAGAGGAGGGTGAAACCATTGGGGCATGGGCAGGTGTGCGAGGGCGAGATGGAAGGGCTACTCGAGGCGACGGGGAAGGCATTGGCGGACGGGCACGCGCAAATACTCTGCGTCGCGGACTCCCAGGCGGCGCTACGGGGCATCTTGTCCACTACGGCAAGGTCGGGCCAATACCGGGCCATCATCTACGACCAACTCGTACGGGCGGCGCAGCTCCACACTCCCCACCTCACCATCACCAACCTCTGGACACCCGCCCACATCGGCACGGCAGGCAACGAGCTTGCAGACGAGGCGGCGAAGGCAGCAACCGAGATGGAAGCTGACCCGAGCCTCTTCGTCTCGCTCACCACCGTGAAGCGCTCGATCCACCTCCAAGTCCTCAACAAATGGGGCAAACTTTGGGACCACTCGAAGACAGAAAAACAGCTTTGTATGGTCGACAAGTCGCCCCCCCGTCTGATCCTCGCGCCTCTCTATTTGTCGCCATCTATCCCACGCAAAGCCATATCCGTCATCTCCCGCCTCCGAACAGGACCATCCCACCTGAATGCTCATCGTCACAAATCCGGGTTCGTCAACTCGCCCGCCTGTGAAGCCTGCGGCGATCCATCAGAATCGCGCGCCCACTATCTTCTCCAGTGTCCCGTCTACGAGCCTTTCCGTCAACCCCTCCATGACGCTGCGAGGCGCGCAGGTCATTTCGGCTCTCTTCACCTCTACGTGCTACTGAACGAGCCCAAAGTCATCAAAGCTCTAGCTGGGTTCATTGAAGCTACGCGAAGATTCAAATGAACGATGAGTCTTGATATTTATCTTTATTGTTATTTCTCTCTTCTCATTCTCTCTTCTACAATACATATACTTAATCTCTCATACCATCTCTCATACCATCCATCATCATACCCCGGAACATGCATACCATTAGAAATCATCACGGACGAAACCCCACGATTCCCAGATACGATTCCTTCATCATAACGATTTACCAGTACTGCATTAAGGTTGGCTTTTCTTTTTCACTTACATATAAAAACCCGTACTCAGACCACCACCAATTACGAATACCGTCACTCAACATTTACTGTACAACTACCATAGCTCGTAGAGGCTGCATGTAGTTACCAAACTGAAAATCAAAATCAAAATCAAAATCAAAAGAGCAGAATTTTAGCTACTCAACTGGATTTAATTGAGAACTCGAGTTGACTTTCTGGTCTTCGTGGGTGGCTTTTGTTCAGCCAGGTTTTACCCCATAAACACGTATAAACGAGCTTTGAACTCATGTTGCAACCACTTGATGGCACATGGTGTGCACCTGCTTTACTTCTTCTGAATCCATTGACGGTTATGCAGGAGGCTCTGGTTCGATTCCGGGTCAGGTGATGATGTCGACACCTGAGTCTTAAAGGCATTTTTTCAAATCTGGTTTCTTTTAACGCTGAGCCGCTTCCGGTGATTTTTCTCTCTTAATGTGGACCGTCTCGAAAGGGAAAATTTAACTTGTATGATCCTCTATGGTTGTTGAATAGTCAATGGTCAACTTAGAAAGATAGTAGTGCATATAAACAATGTTGGCAGCTAGCTCATAGACACTTGATAGCATATGGTGTGCACTTGCTTCAGTTAATGGCACACATGAAGCTGAGCAAGCAAGAGGACCCGGTTCGATTCCGGGTTGAGTGATACTTTGGTCGCAAGGTCTTTTTGTTCCTTTGCCACACGGTCCCTTTTACGATACCACATTCGCATGGGTTGGTTGAAGTTCGAGGAGCAGAATTTTATTTAGTTGACTTGATTTTATTGATCACTCGAGTTGACTTTCTAGATCTTCGTGAGTGGCTGATTTTTGCTTCGTTCAGCCAGGTTTTACCCCATAAACACCACATATAAACGAGCTTTGAACTCATGTTGCAACCACTTGATGGCACATGGTGTAGACCTGCTTTACTTGAGTTGATTCGATTCCCTTTCCACCCGGCCCTTTAGCCTTGGACTCGCTCAGAAGTAGTGCATATAAAAGACACTGGGAGCTGGCTCATAGACACTCAATAGCACATGGTGTGCACCTGCTTCACCTGGTTTATCTATCGACGGTTATGCAGGAGGCCCTGGTTCGATTCCGGGTCGGGTGATGGTACAGCACGTTTTTAGTATTACGTTCATGTTCTCCCTTTTCACGCTTTCCCTCTTGTACCTGACTCTGGAGCCCATGCGACCCCGCGGCTCGGCGAGCGTCTCGTGAACCCAACCAGTATTTTAATTTTTTGTACTTGATGTTGTTGGAGGCGAAGGCTGTTCTCGCAGGTGCTCAAACGGTAAAGGAGAATGGTATCCGTAGCATACATCTGATGCATGTATGTAGTACGGACCCCAGCTGTTTCTTAACGGGACCGCGCCGGTAATCTACCTACCTACCTACCTCTGACCAACACCAAGGAGCGGGGTTGTGTTGAGGTTCGAAGAGCTGCGGCAACAAATGTTCAACCAGTTTTATTACTAAAATTGATTTCCTTGTCTCCGTTGGTTCCTCATGAATAGCGCAGACTATAAACGACAGGGGGACTTTGCTTTCAACCACTCAGTGGCACATGGTATGCAGCTGTTTGACCTGAAAAACTTGCGGCAGTTTAAGCAGGAAGTCCCGGTTCGATTCCTGGTCGGGTGATGTCAGGGCAATGAGGCTTTTTTTCTTCCCCTTTCAACACTTCCTTCTGGTCTCTCATAGCGGGACAGGTCGGATTGGAATTTAAAGAGCACAGAGGTTCAACCAATTTTACCACTGAACTTGCTTTTTATTCCAGTTGATTTCCTTCTTCTCTCCTTATTTTCAAACCACAAACCCTGTATATAAACGATGCTGCTAGTAGGTGATAGACACTCGGTAGCACATGGTGTGCACCTGCTTGACCTACATTCGGGCACCCTGTAGTTTATGCAGGAGGCTCCGGTTCGATTCCGGATCGAGTGATATCATCTTCACGAGGATCATTTTTTTTTCGTTCCCATTTCACGGGGTCCCTTTTATGATCCCGCATTCACATGGGTTGGATTCAAGTTTGAAGAGCAGAGAGCATAGAGACTCAACCGATTTTATTGATTTCTTTTTGTGGTTAAGTTGATTTCCCTTTCCACAATGTCTTGTCTTCTTCCTCTTAGGCTTGGAACTCGCTCAGAAATAGTCTATATATTGGGCTTCACACTTAAGTTTCAGAAACTCGGTAGCATGTGGGATGCACCTGCTTTATGTGTGTCATCTGGCCTAGAGTTCATGCAGGAGTCCCCGGTTCGATTCCGGGTCGAGTTATGCGGCTGGCTCGTGTCACTTCTTTTTTGGTATCACAGTAACTATCACTATCTGAGTTGATATATTTCCTTTACTTCTTTGCTCAAAAGTAGTGCATATACACGATGTTGGGACTTAGCTTGCAACCACTCGGTAGCACAAGGTGTGCACCCGCTTGAGTTAACTCCGCGCAATCGCCCATGCGGGAGGGTCCCGGTTCAACTCCGGGTCGGGTGGTGTCGGCGTGCAAAATGGTTTTTTTTTTGTTGCCATTCTTTTCGTACTAAATTTCGTGGATCGTGTTCGAGTTTGACTGCATGTATATCAATTTCGTGGTTGCTATAGCAGGGAGAGTCGTAAATAGGAAGATTGAGTACAAGGAAGGAAGTATTTGGCTTGATTTTGGTGAGAACTTGAACTAGGGTTAATTTCCTTTGCATTGGCTGATTTCTGCTTAGTTCAGCCAGGTTTCGACCCACAAACACTGCATATGAAGGAGGACTAAACTGAGGTTGGAAGCACTCGGTAGTACATGGTGTGCATCCACTTAACTTGGGCGACGTCTTGAGTTTATGCGGGAGGTTCTCGGTTCGATTCCGGGTCGGGTCATTGTCGGCTCCAGAGTCTTTTTGCATTCCCTTTTTACGCGGTTCCCTTCAGTGTCGCACTCACATGGATTGGACTGGAACCCGGCGAGAGATGTTGACCTTCAATTATTTTATCTAATATTCCTCGAGTTGTCAAGATTATCTTTTCCGCCCTCAGGTCAGCCTTGGACTCGCTCAAAAACAGCGCATTAACGACATTGGGAGCGAGCTTGCAGATATCTGATGGCACATAGTGTGCACCCGGGCCTGCTTCACTTAAATTGGTGTCAAATAAGTTAGGCAAGCCTCGGTTCGATTCCGGGTCGGGTGGTTTCGCGCTGAGCACCGTCTTTTTTGTTCCCTTTTAAGGCTTTCTTTCAATCTCGGTCTCTCAAGGAATGAGTTTGGCCTGAAGCTCTAGGAGCAGAGAGGCTCGGCGGATTTTACAACTTGATTTGAATTCGAGTCGACTTCCTTCGTGGGTGGCTTATTTCCGCTTGGTTCAGCCAGGTTTCACCTCATAAACATAGCATATGAAGGAAGACAAAACTGAGGTTGCAACCACTCGGTAGCACATGGTGTGCACCCGCTTAACTTGTGCGACGCCTCTTGGTTAGAGTTTATGCAGGAGGTTCTCGTTCGATTCCGGGTCGCGTGGTGATCGTCTTTATCTCGCAGACACTTTCTTTTTAGAGTTGGTTTCTTTCAACGCTGACCTGCTCCCCATTTTTCTCTCAATGCGGAGTGTTTCGTTGGAGGGGGAGGAAAGGAAAACGGAAAATTTAGCTTACTATCCCCATGGTTGAATTAATCTTAATCTTGGTTCGATAGTCAACATCCAGCTCAGAAATATATCGGGGCATTATAAATGATGCTGCAAGATAGCTTGCAACCACTCGGTAGCACATGGCGTGCGCCTGTTCCATGTATTATAAGCTTTGTCGACAGTTCATGCAGGAGTTCCTGGTTCGATTCCAGGTCGGGTGATGGGTGTACGGACGTGCGGTTTTAATTGCGCCAATTTTTTCGTACATTATTTCGTGGACCGCGGTCGAGTTTGACTTGCATGCGTGTCGATTTCGTGGTTCTTGTAGCAGAAAGAGTGGGAGATTTGTTATTGGGATTGGTTGAGTAAGGAAGGACGACTCGGAGCGATTACAGAAAAATATCCCAACATGCGATGTGGGTGGTTAAACTTGCTGGTTGTAGGTGAAAGGGTCAAGTTTCGACAGGATAATTTCTTAGTGGAGTAGAACAATTAGAGAGAAGGATGGTCAGTATTCTTGCCGACGGGTGAATGAGTAAATGACGCTACGGTGTCGATTGCGAGAGAGCTCGAGGCTTCAGGGCAGAGAGACGAGGAGAGAGAGGAGACAGAGAGTGGATGCAGCTCTGCAATAGCAGGCTTGACTCAGACGGAATGGGTGGCCATGCGCGGCGCAGACACCAGTGCCGCGCAGAGGTTATTAGGGAAAGGCAGTCATAAGGAATAATATTTTGAACGAGGGAGCGCCAGTCCAGTTTTTGAGTGACAAATCCACGAGCATGCTATAAGGCATCCTCCGACAGTCCGTTAATATTTAATATTTAATTGCGCGCTCAGATTATTTAGCGGTGGTGGCTCGAGTCCTCGGAAGCGGACAGCGGGTAGCGGGGACGAGCAAGCCGGATGAAGCTAGAGCATCAAGGAGTAGGGCGTAGCTGTCCCCGGGGAGGCCAGTGCGGAGCTCGTCGACGTGGTGAGGAAGAGGGAGCAAGGCCGGCGAATATTTAGTCGCCGACCAAACTTGCCGTTTTCGACCACAATTGGACTCGGATGTCTACACCAGAAAACACATACTCAAGCACAGACACGGCAAACAGGCGCGATTAATTGCCTAGAGAATGATAACGCGAGGATATGGAGCTATACTGAAGTCTCGCAATTGCCGCCTGCCCCAGCGCGTCTACTGCTTCCCCGCTTCCATCTCGCGCCCACTTGCCGGTGCATCTATGCGAAACTGCTACCAAGAGCAAGTATAAAGATGGCCCTAAGGATAGCAGGACAAGGACGACGCGCCAGGCATCGGCATCCGCAAACCATCTCCATCCCAACCCGCCGCCCAGATGCCAATGTGCATGGTCTTGCGCGAGCTTGCCGCCGCCTTCGTGCATGTGCAAAAGCCTGTGGCGTCGAGGGAGTTGCCGACCGCATCCATTTCTACGTCTAGCTCGGTGTCGCGCCGCTCAATCTCGTCCTACTTAACCATGGTGGGTGTCTTTCCTATTCTCTCTGATTCTTCCCTCTTCGCCCTCCCCGGTTTGTTTTGCGGGACGAAAGAAAATTGATCTCGTCTCCTCTCGCTAGGTACACCCCTTCCGCTCCCGCTATGCCCCACTTCAAGCACAGGCTTCTCCTCGAGCTCCTGCCCCAGCTCCTCGCGGGCCTCGGGCAAGACGACTCTCACGTCTCCGCCATCTCACTCGCCTGCATCTGCATCTCCCAACCTCTTCCTCGCCAGCCTGCTTCTTGCCCGTATCGCGCGACACAATCGGCCCCAAGCACGTGTTTCGGCACCTCTACATCCCCTCCACCGCGTCCGTCACCCCTTCTGCCTGCCTGCCACGGCACCCTTGTGCATCACCGCCCCGAGGACGCTGCCGTCGCCGACGACTCCCAAGTTCGCCTCTTCACCCACCGGCGCGTCCACTTACCTTCCCACTCTTGGGTCTTGCACCCACCCTCGCCTCGCCGCGTCCGCGTCCTCCTCTCCCAAACTCAAAGTCGAAGCGGAAGGACCTCTACGTGGATTTTGAATCGGCGTACGCGGGCGCGCATCATAATTTCTCGCGAATGCGGTGGACAACAGCGAGATGGGGTGGACGGCGGCGGAGGGGAACGTATGCGCTAGAGGAAGATGGGGATGCGTTCGAACCAGTAAACTCAGAGGCGTCGCGGGATACTGGTGCTGCGAACGCGAGCAAGCGCGACAGTCGCTTCATGGAACTCCTTCGCCTCCCCACCGCTCCTTTTACTCCGACCCACCCACTCGCGCACAAAGACCGCAGGACCGAGCCCACGTCGCGCCGCACGCTCGTCGTCTTACTGCGCTACTTGTGGTGTCCGCTCTGCGGGCGGCGAGCGACAGAGTGGTGGGGAAGCAGGGGACGGGAGCCCGCGTGTCGGCGTGCGCCAACTCGCGCTCCCGCTCTTCCTAGTCTCAAGCGGACGACGACGAGCGAGTCTGGGGTATAAAGTTGGCCCGCGTGTCCGGCGTGCGCTAACTCGCACTCCACAACCGACCGCCGCCGCCGACGACGAGTGGGTCAGTTTGGCATATTTGGAGGGCTTGCGCGCGCCGGCTCCGGGCGAAGAAGAACGAGAGGACAAGGACGTGTGGGAGTTCGATAATGCGTATTGGGTGCGTACGTTGTCTCTTTGTCTTTCTTTCCTTATCCTCTTTGTTTTATTTATTTGGGTTTTTTTGGGGGAGGGCGAAGCAGACGTGGCGTCGAGGCTTGTTCGTGGGATGCGAGCAACTCGTTCGGCGATGGCTCCCTCGATCCCTTTTCTTTTTTCGAGGGCGCGCGTGTGCATTGCTTCAAGGTGGAACGTGGATCCACCTTGCACTCAGACTTGACGTGCGCTGCCGCCGCCGGAGATCGTGTCTTCGCCTGCGTCGTCGCCCGTTGCATCGCCGACGGTGCCCGTCTTTGCCTTTGTGAAGCTGGCCGACCGTCCCGCGTTTGCACAGGTGAAGGACGGCATGTAAGGGGGGGCCCATAGGCGATTTTATTTGATTGGAAGAAAGAATCTGATCTCCCTCTTTTTTTTGGCGTGGGATGATGCTGCCCCCGCCGCTTTCACCACGCGACACGGCGTAGGAGAAGCGGTACAAGGCTACAAGCACAGGCCCCCGAGGACGGTCTGTGCGTGTTTTCGCGTTCCCGCCTGATGAAAATGATTGCCCTGTTTCCTAGTCTTTGTAGGATGTCGTGGATGTGATCCTAGGGATCCAGCTCCGCCAGACTGCGTTCCAATTTACAAGATTCAGCGGGGGGATTTGGTGCGTGTAAACTATTATCTCTCCGTTTGCTGGGAGTTCTGCATAAAGTGAG